CTACTTGGCATGTTGGGTAAGACCGGCCATACGCCCTTGTTAACTTTTGCAGTTTAGGAAGATAAACTGCTTCGCGTATGCGTTGGATGGTTTTCTGAATGCCACTATGAGAAGCTAAAGGGCTGTCGTGTAACTCGAGGATATTTATCTAAGACTAGCTGGGATAACAGGTCGAAATTCGTTGTTGGAATTTGTAGTTTTTGTATAAAATAATAGACCATCTATTAGTCGTATGGGCCACTTATTTCTTATCGCCACAATATCTTGGTGGCTAAAATTTTCAGGATCCTTTAAATACTCATAAACGTTTCTAAATTCGGATCCTTACCCAGTTCGGTTATTACAGTTTCTGAGGAATTTATTGTAATGCGTGAGCATTGCCACCTTTACAGTATTACCTTCTTCATCTATTTTTATTCTGGATCGGGCATCCGCTACGATATTTTCCTTTCCGGGATTGTGTTTGATTACGAAATTATACCCCTGTAACTTGAGTGCCCATCTTATTAACCTTGGAGATAAATTTTTTCCTGAGTATATGCATTGATGATACTTCTAGTTACTGCCGCATGATCAGAATACACTCTTACTGGCGCACTTCCAAAATAGACTCAGAACTTTTGCACTGCTAACAGAACTACAAGTGCCTCTCTCTCAGTAGCGGAATAATTTATTTAAAATGTTCTTTTTGAGTTTCATTTAAAGTTCTACTAAAAAATGCCACGGGCTGCTGATTTTGCGAAAGTACCGACGCCCTTCGCAAATCCGAAGCATCCGCTGAATTTCTAAATTTCATCATCCTTTTCAGGAAATTTCAAAACCGGGGCTTGCGTTAATGCTTGCTTTAATTTTTCCAAAGCACTATTGGCTTCGGCTGTCCACGAGAATCTTGCCTTCTTCCTTTTAATTTTAGCAATGGTTCAGCAATAGTTGCAAAATCTTTTATAAAGGACCTATAATATGAAGAAAGTCACAGAAAAGAAGAGCCGCTTCTTCGCCGTATTTGGCGGCAGATACTTTTGCAATAGCGATTATTTTTGATTCGTCCGACTCGATTCCTTTCTGAGATATTTTGTATCCCAAGTATTTTAATTCAGGAGGTGCAAATTTATACTTTTCGAACATTAACTTTTAGAACCGGCCTCATTTAATAATGAAAACATCTCTCTCAAATCCTTTTATATGTTGGTAATCCAGAATTATCAATAGTAATAATGATATCGTGTAAGTATATAAGTGTGGTCTTTTCTAGAACAGGACTTTGCACAATGTCCATGCATCGCTGAAATGTTGCCGGTGTTCCAGAAAGGCCAAACGGCATACGGAAGAATGCATATGTGCCAGACTTAGTTATAAAAGCAGTCTTAGGCACGTCTTCCGGTCTAACCCCTATTTGAAAATAACCAGTCGTTAAGTCTAACGTAGTCATATATTTCGTAGAAGTTTATGTTTCTTAGAAATTTCTTCAATAATAGGTAACCGATATACCGGATATTTAGCCATGGAGTTTAATCTACGATAGTCAATTGCGAAACGCCACCGTTTTTGGATGTGTTTCTGGATAATCGTTATTTTTTTTACATAACACAACCGGGCTAGCATAACTACTTGAGATGGGCGTTATGGTCTTTTTACGTAACATATCTCGTAATGTGCGACTCTATAATTTTTTCTTTATTTTTATCGTATCCGATACGGCTTGTGGCGAACTGGCCAGTGAATCTCCTGTGTCGATACTTATGGTTCGTCGCTTGAGCAAATCCTGGGAATATCACTAAATAACGAAGCAAATTCACTTACCAACTTGGTCGAATTTTTTGTTGCTCTTCCCGTAGGCAGGTGGTTAAGATTTTACATTGGGTGGTTCTCTTTTTTTCTTCTAGCACTGGTTTCATCGTCAGCTTAAGGGACGCTTCGTTAAAATCCAGTGTTGCTTCTGGCTCTGAAAGAAAATCTATCCCTAAGATGATATGTGCTTGCAGATTCTTTACTATAAAAAACATAATCTTTACTTGTTCGTCCTTGATACGAACGTATAGCGGTAATTTATCTATACACTTGCATCTTTCTCCCTGCGCAGCTAACACTGTCGTATTATCCGAATTATATATGCGGTATTTACGAACATACTTCCTAAAAAAATCTTCTGCCACACAGGAACACTGCGCGCCGCTACCCAGGAGTGCGGTGGCTGGGATATTATTCACCAACACTTCAATCTTTGGAAGAGTCACATTTTTCACCATCAGTGTATTTAACTTGAAGGAAGAGGGGTTTTCTTGGCCTTCGGATTTCCGAACCCTCCCGTCAGCAGAAATCCGTTTTAGTTTCAATCTTGTTTCTTCCTTTCCATGCTTTCCTTCTTTTTCCACTGGCCTTCAGACTTTTTCCTGGATTGCTTGGCGCACCAAATTGGTTTCGTTGCTCATATCGGCGTCTTCTTTCAATGTCCGCCGTTCTTCTACTTTCAAACTGGATTGCTAGCTCAAATAACTTTTCCAGTGTAGTCGGATTCCTTGATTCAATAAAGTCTTGTACTTGGGGAAGTAACCTAGGCAAAATGACTTGTATTATCTTCAGGATCCGGACCGGCTTCCATACAAGAGTTTAAAGACGTGAATTTTTCTTAAAATAAAGCTTGAGAGATTTTCGAATTCGTTACTGGTATGTGCTGAAGAGTTCCGCTTCCAATTTTGGCACGATTTCGTACGACAGGGAAGGCTTTTACTAAGGCAGTCTTTGAAATTTTCGTAAGTATAGGATGGGACTTCCTGCTTGAGCCAAGAGACTTTCTTCCTATACATTTGAACCAATTAAGCGCTTGGCCCCTCAAAGCGCTGGTAGCTAAGGTGACTTTCTGGAATTCATGCACGGGATACATCATGAAGTGGTCCTCCAATTTTTCCAAAAAACTGGTTACCGGTGAGTTTCCATTAAATGTTGCTTCTGGTTTCATCGATGCGCGCATGGTCTGGACGATGTAACCAAATCCTTCCAGGGCGGCAGCTGGCATTTCTGGATTCTGAGCCGCTTCTGCAGGCAGCACAGGTTCTTCTTGAAACTCGGCCATGGTTATTCTTCTTCGTCGGGCGCCACTATCAAGTTCAGTGTTCCTCCTTACTTTGCTTGGGGGAACATGAAATGACCTGACTCGGAACAGGGAGCTTACTAAAGCTATGTTCAATAAATGTGGGAAGTAGACAAGATACACAGGAAGGGTATACGAAACCCTTTATTTTTCTCTCTTTTACAATGATTTCCGGACTTCGGAATACAGAGACCAACCACTTGTGGTCTGAACGTAAGAATATAAAAATATTAACTAAATTCTAACTAAACTAACTTTGGATTAATAAACAAGTGTCTACTTGAAGATTGGCCGTATATTAACAGAAAGGCCGTATGTAGTACAGAGAACTGTTAACACTACGATACGTTTAAAATTATCAAGAGGATTAATCCTCTGGCCTTGAAGGCAACCAGCAACAGAGTAAAACTGCAAGTGAGTGATTAAAGCAGGCAAACGGCCAGCTTTTAATCACTCCTTCCTCTCTCTTGCTTGGCAAAAAGCCACAACTTAAGCACTTGGCGTTCGCAAGACAAATTTGCATAAATAAGTTAAAGCTTTTAATTATGGCCGGAAGTAGAAAATAAGAAGTGATAGTAAAGATTTAAAATAAAATAAACGTTAGTAAAACTTAAGATCCTTACAAAGTGCATACGGATGTTTTATAATAAAGAATCTGAAATATATTGCTTTTGAAATTAATCGCTCATATATCTTTCTTTATGTCTTGAAATGTGGTATGCTGCTTATGTACCGTTCTTACTTGAAAAAAATTCAAAATTTAATTTATCAGAAAAACGTCTGCTGCAGTTAACCTATAAGATTTCATTTAATTAATTTTTCAATTTTTCTTATATTTTTGTTTTCTAGTTAAGGAAGCATTTGTTCTTTCTTATCGCCTCCCTTAAATTTAATTGAAAACTTTTTTTTACTGTATTTGAAGAGCATTTTCAAGAGCTTTAACTGACAGAGACTGGCAACAGTAATTCGGAAAACTATTCGTACAATCATTTTATGTTTTTCATCATTTACATGAATATATATACATATTTATGCACAAAGCTAAAATGCTTCCTTAGCTCAAAAATTTCAATAAACTGTATTTAAATATGTTTACTTTTCAGGGGACTCAGTTTTATTGAGAATTTCAATTTAGATTTAGTTTTTAATACCATTGTTATTTCATAAGTGTTGAGATGAACTATATCGCATCAAATTCCTTCATATCTGGAATCAGTAGCAAGTAATTCCTAATTTTAATACAACCAAGAATGTTTTTAAATACAAAATCTTAATATTAGTGCTCTATATTCAATAAAATATTTAAACTGAAACTCTACACTGTTTAGAACTGCAGAACGCCTCATGATTACGTAAAATTAAATAAATAGGAAACCAAAAATTCCTTTAAATAGGAAAGAAAATATTTTAACTTCAACCACAATTCAGACTATTTAATGTTATGATTATAATACTTTGCATTTTTTAAATTTTATTGTACACTCAAAAATTTTATGTTTTGAAAAACGAAACTTTTGAAAGTGTGGAATTTAACTTCTGAAAATTTCTTTAGAAAATATTTTATTTTATACGAAGATGTTTCCTTTAAGAGGAAATTTCTCTTTAAGTAACAAACTAGCAAACATTTTATATTTCAAAAGAAGAAGACTTTCAGAAACTTAGTTGACTCTAATTATAAAATTATAGTATTAGGAATACCAAAATATTTATTAAAGATATGTTATTTAATTTTTTTTTTCAAGTTTATAAGCTGTTTTATTTTCTGACAAATGAAATATCTTAAAATGATGCATAACTTGATGTATGTATTCAGTTCCTTTTTTTATTTTAAATGAACTTTTCATGCAAATTAATTAAATTTTCTTACGTTATTTCTTTTACTTACATATTGCTCCGTCCAATATGTATACAGGTGAACAATGCAACAGCAAGGGTTCAGACAAAAAAACTGCCAACAATTCCAAATGGTAAGACGAAAACAACCATAGATGAAAGTAAGTGCAGGCGTAAAACTATTTTTTATCTGGTATTATCTTAACATTTTCTGTGTTCCTTTCTTTTGACAGCTCTGAAAGAAATGCTTTTCTTAAACAAATCCTATCATTAAACTCTTTTTTTAAACATATAAATACTAAACTTTTTTTTAATTTTTAATGTTGTTAAATAAATTTCTTTACCTTCTTTTAATAAATATTATTTGAAATTAAAGGAGAGTCTTTTTTTTTTACTTCTTTTTCTTTATTATAAATAAATGGGAATAAGCACTGTGGTTTATATTTAATGAACTTCAATATTAAAACTATTAAATTAGTTTTAAAATAAATTATTATAATTTTACGACGTTTTTACGAAATCTTTCATTGCCAATATAGTGATTTAATGTATAAAAAATCAGGATTTTTTTTTTAATTTCAAGTAAAGTATTGCATTGTTTTCATTAAATTTCAGTATTAAAATTTTAGTGTGCTTATGGCAATTAAATACGCGATAACCGTAGAGCTTTTGTTTCCATAGCACCGATATTAATCTGAATGCCCATACTTTGGAATACTAAAAATATATTATCTCATTTTAACAAAAATATTTATTCATGCATAGTCCAATCATAAATTTTGTAATAAAACCTTTTTCAGCAAATTGGATTAACATGCTTTTGCTTAATCTATTTTCCTGTGTAAGATTGAATTAAAAATGTCACTATTTTTCCTTGAAAATAAAATCTTTCATTACAAAAGCTTTGTTTAGTATTATACGAATAAATCCATTATCGACCCTTTTAAAAGTTACTAAAAATAGAAACCTCCTTAATACCTTAATAATTTTGTATCTCCTAAAATCATCAAAAGAAGTAGCAATTTCAGTTTTTTTTTTAAAAAAACAGTGCACAGAAAAAAGAAAGAGTGATTAAGGAACATGATGAAGCACAATGACAAAACAAGAACCTCACGAAAAGCATTAACCAGACACATTGTGCATTTGATACAACAATGAAAATATCCTTCTTGTCTGTTCTGTCAGCCTCCCAGACGGAAAAGTGGCTAGTTATTCTGATGGCCGTACCAAAGGGCCCGAGTTCAAATCTCGGAGAATGCAGGGATATAAATTATCTGTCTCTTCACAAGACGCAAAAGTGACCGCCTATTAGTGCCTCTAATGACCACCGCTTCTGGTCATAGCAGTGCCAAAACCTAAAACGGATAGTCCCCGTCGTTTAAAAGAATGTCTATTGCCAACTATACATATTTTTCACTAAAACATCTGTGAACGGTTCTTATATAATCGAAACCATATCATCATTATCCTAAAGTATACAATTTCTTCGACTTAAAAATATATTTTCTTCGACTAGGGACATTGCGACGTTTTAAAACCGTATTTTTAGGTATCTTCCGGTTCCTTGTATTGGAAGCACCATATCATAACATTAATTATGATTGCTTTTTATAAACTTATGATCCATGTCTAAACCTCTGTGCCAGTATTTACATTACTACGTTCTTTGTGTTTTGAAAAGCAATCGAGAATAAAAATCTCATTTATTCAGATCATCCGCTTAAATACGATGAATAACAGTTTTGATCATTCATGTGAAATGCTCAGAGAACTTTTCTGACAAATATTGATTTTACAGCAACGCAATCTGCTGATACATACATTCTAAAAATCCTTGGATCGTTAAAAAAATTGAATGATCCCAAAATGTCTTCACCGTAAATTTGTTTCATCTTATCTTCCTACTTTGTAACAATATTTAATAAGATCTAATTTTTACCTCTTATCACAACTATCTTGAATTTCATTACTTCTGTTTTCATAAATATTCATAAGAATGCTCAATCTCTCTGAAACTTCATTTTACATAGTATTACAATTATTTGAGATTTATTTAATTTAGTATTGAACTATATGACATGATCCTGAAAATCGTAAGTTACGCTGTATTCATAAAATTTCTTCTACAAAGCAAAAACCAAAGCCAAAAATACATAGAATAGATAAATATTCAGAAAACAAATATATAGCAGTTTCTTGTAATTTATCAATCCTACCAGTTTTCAGTCACGATCTTATTAAATAATCTCTGGGACTGTTACTAGCGGAACACTGATTTCACTTTTGATAACAAATTTTTCAATTTCTAATATCAAATAAGCCTTATTTATAAAATTATTTGACATTATTTGGCATCTCAATTATTGATATTCTGTATGGAATAAATGGAAGTCTTACTCTAATATAAAAATAAAATTGGCAAAATACCTCCAAAATTTGACATTGGTTTTGTGAGGTTCCTTTACTTTGATTAAACAGTTATGTTATTTTTCGGATCTGTACTGTCACTTCTCCTTTCCTTTTTTCCGCCACATTGCTAGGGTTGCTGTTTTAGAAAAGAGATCTGATCTTCGGCCTTTCAATAACTGCCGATAGTTGAAATCCACGCCGGTTAAGTTCCAAGCCAGCTTTGCCTTAATTTGTTCTGTGTAGTCTTTGGCTACTAATTTATTTAAATTTAAATTTTACGTTTCGAACTTACTACTTAAGTATCTCACCATAAGTACTGGCGGAATTGTAAGCACCAGGACTGCCTTCTGTCCATCTTATTTAGTTTTAAATAAAGGGTCTTTTATATCCTTTCCAAGTTTCAGTTGTTACTTTAGACTTATCGATAAGTCGCCTAACGTTCATCAAGATTTTAGACACTTTGGATGATACCCTACATTAAACTCTACATTTTTATAGAAAACTCTGACAGAATCAAGGAACGAGATCACTTTTTATCAAGCATTCTGCCAAATTAATATTTTTTTTATTTATGTTTAATTTTTCGAGTTAAAATGATGAATTTTTTATAGATTGTCTTAGAAAAATGAACAGATTTCTTAGTGTAAATTTATAACTAATCCTGACACGAACCGATCTTGTAAGTACCTTATTAATTTCTTCACCGCAGCTGAAAGTAATGCACGGCAGACGTCAGACTAATGCATTGATACCTGCACAGTTGTCCTGGATATGATGTTTTTTAGTTGCATCTTTACAAACAAAAACTAATATATAATAATAAATTGCAGGATATCCCAGTGATGGGCAAACTTCTTTTGAAGGGAGCCAAAAAAAAGAAAAATAATTACAGGCCAATATAATTATTCTAAAACTTTAAAAAGATACACAAATAGTAACGTTGTAAATGAAACTGGAACTGCATGTTTCAAATTTCCTTAAATTCAGGTTCAAATTGCAATGTACTAATTCTGAGAAGTGATGCTAAATGCTCATCTGTCAGTCTATTTTAATAGAATTCTTCCTAAAGTTCATGGTAGAAAGTACTTGTTCACATATGTCAGATATAAGCACTAATTTTCTAAGAGTGAGGTATTAAATTTGGGTAATTTGCTTTCGATAAAGATTTGTAAAACTAATTTTGAAACACTGACAAACTGCTCGAGTTGAATGTTAAGATTGTAACTCAATTAATTCAAGCTGTAAATCCGGCCTCACTGCTTCACATTTTCGTTGAAATACATGGTGAGAATATCTAGTTCCGTTTGAGTAGCACTGAAATCTTGAAATATGTATTTAAACTCAAAATGCAATTTTCGTAACATTTGTCTTCATTTATCGAGGATATTGAATTTAACCTCGGGAAATGAAACAAGTCGTTCTTATCTAAATGCTCGGCAAGCAAATCAAGTTCTGTTTTAATACTTTGGGGGTGGGGCCAGATACAGTCGAAAAAGGCTTTTACCTTGCATCTTGACACTGAAGTCGTTCATACGACAAAGAGGATCTGCGAAAATGCAAAGTCCAAAAACCATTCTGTGTCTTCCAACATTTCCCGCTCCTCAGAATAATGTTTCACATAGAAGAATAACACAGTGTCATCTGCCAAACTCGCTCCGGTTCAGATGCCGGACCCGCTCAAAAACTCATCCTTAACTAAACCACCTTACTTTCGTGTAATTAAGCACAACAATATATTCAGATTTGAATGGACTGAAGAAAGCCCCGAAATTGCCTCACAAATATTTTCTGCTTTTGAAAGTCCATGAAATTAAAAAATATATACAAGCCTCACGATTGCATCAAGCACGTTTCATATACAGTGCAGATTCACAAAATTTTTGTATAGAGTGCAGATTTTCACAGGAAATCTTGATGTATAACTCAATGTATAAAGATAACACTGTTCCCAGGATAATTTTGAATAAAGAGTTCAAGAAATCCACCAAAATTCACGAAAAACATCAAATCCTGTTGCAGTTCTCTTTAACGAGTTCGCGCATGCCAGTTCCTCGTTTCTCATCAACATCTTTTAAAAATAATACTAATGGAGCAATATCATTTATATCTCTGCTTTCGTCCATAACTGTGGAGCAGAATTTAATCTGGCCACTCTTTGACTGTAAAAGTGATATCAGATATTTATTGATGGCTCTGACTCTAGAGAAATCACCATTTTTCGAAACAAGCTTACAGTCTCAAAAATGATATTTCTTGGCTGGGCATAAAACTTTGACAATGCATTGTTTAACAAACTCCCCATCGTTGAGAGCTTATTACTTTTAGCATTATTATATGATACAATGAGACTTGCATGTGTAGCTGCTTCCTGAATACTGTTTACTTTATTAAAACAAATTTGTCGACTTCATAAATCTTCACAAATATTTTCTGCTTTTTGTTTTCTTTCATGTTCGAATATTGTTCCTTAATTGGAATTCTTGTGCTTTAATGTGAAGTGACGGTAAATGTTAAATTCTTTGAAGGCTGCTACAGCTTCATTACACTATAATAACAGGAAATGTTACATTCTTTGAAGGCTGCTACAGCTTCATTGCACCAAACGACACACTAGTTAATCCTTTACCACTAATAAAGAAATATTTCTAAGTCCATTCATCTTAAAAGGCACCGTGGCACTTTGCGGTTTTAGTAGATATTTTTGGGCCGAAATGTTTTACAAATATTCACAATAGCAAAAACCAGCACGAGCACCATTATATGTTTTAATAATTTCACCACTATTCACAATGAATCTGTCTGTCCAATATCTTGTAAATATGGACATCTTTAAGAAAATAATTTTAAATCAAAACACTCTCGTTATCAGAATGCGATTTGCTCCTGAGCACATCAAAGTGACGGATTTAGGAAGTAAGATGCATTTTACTTCACATTATCACTGATAAACGCCCCTATCACCATCACACTATAAGAATAGAATGAGAAAAAATAAGATTATACTGAAAATATGCATTTACATCTGAGAGCATAATACAGTAATTGCTCTCAAATATCGTGTCCTCAAAGTCTGTGCTTCAGAATCATTTTTTTTTTCTTTTGAACACAGTTATGTAAATCTAGTTGCCATTGGCAGAGTTTTCTGCCATGATATTGATAAATCCTTTAAAAAATTTTCGTCTTGCCATTAAAAGCATTCTATTGTTAGAAATTAGCAGTAATATCCTTGTCATTATTTTATTTAATCCTTCTGTCAGTTACAAAATTTCCCCGATTCTACAGAAATTCAGTTTTATGATAATTTTCTCACATATCAATAGAATTCATTGTTCATTTCTTAAAGATTATCACAATGATTTTAATGGTTAGCTGTTTATAACAATTTAAATTTAAATAAATTTGTGATATTAACAGTTCAGTGCCATTTATAGATAAACGTTGAGCTAACACGTATTTTAAACCAAACACGTGCGCCAGTGAAGTAAGTATTTATGTATAAACCGCACTATGATATGCCAATTCGTTGATGTTATATGATGTTTTTTTAATTTGTAAAAATTTATGAGAAACCCTGTGGAATAAATACCTAACGCAAATAAAGGCTTATGCAACACCATCTGACAGATAGTTACCAAATAACTGCAGACGCCTGTAGCATCAAGTAATAACAATACTTAGCTCCATAGGCTGCCTAACCATTGTAAATAAAATTGAGTGCCTTTGACAATAAAGAGTCAGTAAGTATCAGAACTGAACATTTCAGACATTTCTAACTAACGCTGCTTTGCTGTATGTTGGAGGTAATGCGAAAGATTCTTCAGATATATTACTAAATTTAAACTTACTATATTCATTATAATTATGTGAATTTAATTCTGTTTTACTTTGTCTATGGAAATGCAGTGTTTCTTCATTAATTTAATGATTGCATTTATCCTGCGAAACACTGCAATGAATATGCTATTTTTAAATTTCAGTGGCTGCCTTGAGGGGCGTGGCCATCCAGAGAGGACGGGCGAGAGGGGCGTTCGCGACCGCTTTTGCCCGGCATCCCTCGCCCCTAACTGCAGCTGCCGCCGCCACGGCACTACATGGTTACACACCGTAAGTAAAAATTTCAAAATTATTTTATTTTATTTTAGTTACTTTTATCTTTAAGAAGATTTCTCCTTAATTTTGACATCCGTTTGTATTTTTACCTGTATCTACAGCACACTTGTTAACGTAAAATCTATAATAGTAAAAATTAACTAAAATGCTTGCAAACTCGTCAGTTTAGACCTGGTATCACACCTGCTGACGTGAAACGCAATAAGAAATTATTCGCTGAGAACATCTTCCCCTAGAACTAGTTTTCAACAGCAGAAATCTGTCTTACCGCAAACTTTACGACGACGGCGAAAAATGCTTTTATATTTTACGTAAGTCAACGAATGCGGCATAGCGAAAGATTGTGAGATAAAGATTTCTCGAAACATCTTATTCGACAAGATGTTGAAGGAAGTGTTATCTAGTCTAATAACAGCTTAAAAAGGGAAAAAATTTTCATTACTGCATGATTGGCTAATTACCGTATTTCGTAAATAAAGTCAATTTTTCCCCATCTCCGTGACTCAAAAAATATTCCATTGGTACCATTGATGACCTCCCGGTGGCTAAGTGGCTAGCGCGTCGCGCAGCTGCACCACAGGTCCGGGGTTCGATGCCCGGGAAGGGCAAGGTTGACGCAGTCTTTCATCACTTAAGTGGGTCGATAAAATGAGTACCAAGTTCGCTTGGGGACTAAACACTGGGGGTCATGCGACAAGCTGACCACTTGCCCAGGGCATATGCTGATGTATTCTGAGGCCCAATGGTCAAGAACGCAGAAAAGGGAGGCTGAAGACTGTGGCCCAATAGGGCTGTTGCACCACTTAGTTTAGTACCATTAATACGATAGGCATGACTAATCTTTTCTTTATTTTCATTTTCAAATTCCTCAATTTGGTTTACAATCAATCAGTTTATAATCGATTAAACGCTGTAATTATGGAAGAAGCATTCGAAGGATATCTATCTGAAGCAAAATATTCCTTCATGATATACATTCTAAATTATATTTACCCTATGGGAAACAATGAAAATAGAATGCAATCAATATCTTCAACATTCCTTTAAACAAATAAAGGTCAAATTTTTATCATTTTGCATCTTTAGCTATTCATCACATAAAACATCGTCTGCAGACACAGATTAAAGCTGTTTTCACTTCCTTGTACGAAATAAAGAAATTACTGTAATCTCGAAAAATTTCGGGTATCATATTTCAATGACAATATCAATTTCAACCGCTCTCTAAACCATTTTAATGATGTTTTTGTGTGACGTCTGTATGTACGGACTAAATAAAGGACTGTTTTTGCCAAAACGGATTGGAAATTGGGTTTAAAATGGATTCAATAGAGATTTTTTCTTGACATTTGTACATACATACGTACGTATATCGCATCAAGAACGAGTACCCTTAGAACTTTGAAATTGTGTATATGAGACTGCTATAACATGGCATTGTGCACCTCTCGTTTTTGCTGCAATCGGCTATACCAATCGTATATATATATATAGATATATATGTAAACATGTGTGTGTATTCCCACTCTGTTACCTGGCTTGGTGAGTTTAGTATTTTTATTCTTATATGTTGGTAAATTGTGCATTTTTTGTTTTAAGAGTGATTGAATTACACTGTAAAAAAAAATCTGTAAAGTTACTAAGAAAAGTCGTGGAAACTGGGATGCCATGCATTATTTGAGTAATCAAAACAGGAATTTTCTTAGTAACTTTACAGAGATTATACCTGTAATGGTTACAGATGTTTGACATGTAATGTTACAGGAAGTTATTCTGTAGGCATAACAAAGTTTTTGTATGTTGATTACCGAAGCATATGCCTGTAAAGGTTACAGATCTTTGATCTGTAATGTTACAGGAAATTATCGTGTAAGTAAGTATAACATGTTTTTCATATGTGATTTACCAATGTAAACATCTGTAAAGATTACAGGAAATAATAGTGTAAGTAGATCGTAATTTTTGAATGTGAATTACTAAAGGGAATATTTGTAGATTACTAGTGTTCTGCTTGTAAGGTTATTGCAAGTGATTATGTAAGAACATGTATTTTCATGTGAAATTTTAAAGGATATATATGTAAAAGTTGCAGATAATTTACTTAAAAGTTCTTCCAAATAATTATGCATATAGAACATATTTGTCTTATACAAAATACAAAAATTATGTATTCCTAAATATTAAATATTTTGATTGTAATATTACTATAAATAATTACACATGTAGAACATATGTTTTATGTGAAATGTCTACAGCTACTGCTTGTAACAAAATATGCTGCATTTATTTATTTGTGGGGAAAGGGAAGTTATGTAACTTTAAATATTAAGTTTTTTTTTTTTTTTTTTTTTTTTTAAGGAAAAATACCTTAGATTTTCTAAAAGATATACAACATTTTCTTTCAAAATATTTCCAATGTTAAAAATAAGCTCAAATTTTATGTTTTTCTTACATCTGCATTACTTTCCTTTATTGAATTTTAAGACATCTCAAAGTTACATATGCATCACGAAATAGCTAAAAAAAAAACTTGTGTATTAGACTTAATGGTTTTTTTGGCAATAAATTAGTAATGTTCTAGAATTCCCCCGCTGAACACTGGTAGTTCGGTCCGAGGTTCAAATCCCGCGAATGGGCTGGTTGTATGGGTATTTTCATGGTTTTCTCCATGTGTAACATGTATATAAGTCAGTTTCCCTTCGAAAGTCCTCCACAAAGGCATTTCTCCACTTAGGCAGATAGTCCTAGTGTGCTTTGCCATACTTAAGTAAACTAAACCAAATCATTCTCCTTATACCCAACAGTGTAATCTAAAGAGACTGCAATTGGATATGATTACAGTAAAAAAAATATTTTAATAATGAAATTGTTTCAATAAACAATTCTAAATATTTTTTCAAATTCTAAAAAAAATTACTTATGTAACTCAACAATGAACTTAAATTCAGTTATCACAAGTTATCCAAAATTATTTTCATGCTTAATTGCATTATTCATTTTAATTACAACATATAATTCTTTTAGGCATAAATGCTTTTTAATCTCTTCTGCTACTGACCATTAATTGAAATAATAGATTAATTAATCGGACAGTTGTACAGGTATTTTCCCAGATTTAAAACTTTATTAATAAATTACATTCTTCTCATTGAATACAAAATTGAAGAATTAGTTAGTCCTAAATTTAATTTTTCAAGTATTCCTTCTACTAAGAACATTTATTGCCTACAGGCAGCCAGACAGTAAGCTGAACACTAGCATTTGGCTCTAGATTTAAATCCTAGAGAATGGGCTGCCTGTGTAAATGTTTGTGTAACATGAAGTTTTCCTTAAAATATTCCTTTCCTTGGACAGATGGCCCTCTCTTGCTTTGTCATATTTCAAATAATCAATTCAAGCATTTAATGTAGGTATGACTTCACAACTTCGTCCCAAATTCTAACTGAAAAATTGAACAGAATCCCCTGATACTGTGTCTATAATACATGATGAATATAGAATGATCATTAAAAATTTAAGGAAGAAAATATAATGTATTTGGAAATGCCTTGATCCCTATAATTATATTTTTCTCTGCTATGCCTAGAAAATTAAGAAAAGAATGTAAAAACTGAAGATAAAGAATTCAGCATTAATAATTGATATGATAGTAGTAATAAACTAAAAATTTTTTAATGAAAAATTGATAATGCATAATGGCTCCTTAAAATTTTAATTTTCTATCCTACTATTAATGGAACTAATTTATCACTATAATCAAAAATGACTCAGATTTTCTTTCTTTAACTGATGTCAAAAATACGATGATTATTTCAAAATTCCTGTGGATGATTTAATTGTTCTCAAAATTTTCTATTCATTATTTTAAATGGTTCAGATTAATGTTTTTGTTATCATTATTTCAAACGACTTTTTAAATCTTCGGGAAAAATGTTTAAATCTTCATTCAACAAAATTATATTTTTAGATAGATTTTTATGGAATCAAAAATTCTGTAAGATAATATTCATTCACACAAGATATTAACTTAGTATTTGCTCATTACTTTACAAGTATTCGATGAAGCCTTTTAGTGTAACATACAGGTTACATAAGGAACCATTTCATTTTAACGTAATATTCCATAATCATATATTTTATTTCAAAAAATATCATATTTTGAAAATATTGGATATTGCAATGGATTTCGACAGAATATAGAAACAAAAATAGGTTTATTTTTATTTGAAAACTATCCAAAAGGAAAATAAAATAAAAAATAGGTAAAATTTATATTATTGTTATTTTAATTATTAACTAGTTGTGAAGGTGCAGTCCTCTTCTTCTTAGGATTCAAAGCATGGCTCCTAAATAAAGAAAAAAATCACATTCGTTAGAAGTACATAACATATTCTAAATTTGTTATGTGACATTTTAATTTAGAATCTCTTCATAATAATTGCATGCACTTGCACATATTCCAAATGATTTAAATCTTTTTTTTAAATTAAATAATTAAATTGCAAACAAGATTCCTTTTGGTCCTTTCATGAAATCATAAATTGCATGTATCATCCATTTTTGAAGCAAAAAAAAACAGTACAAATTTAAATAATTCAGAAATATTGCAGAAAATAATTTGAGGTTTATTAGATATTTACTATATTTATTTGTAATATAAAATAAATCTGTAAAGTAGTTTTAATAATGATCAGATTTTTTTTAAGATTAATTTCTCTAGAAATTGAAATGTATTAAGGTAGCACTTCTCAATCTGTGGATCATACAGCTTGCCCTCATGGTCCTCCGAAGTTTCCAAAGGAGACAAAAAAATTTAGTTGAAAAATCTCAGAGTTTAAAAAGTTACATATGACAATCATCTATCACCTTTTCTCGTAAGATAGACATTTTATGAAATTTATTATTGGTTACCCTACTTACAGACTTCCCACTCAGTCTTAGCAGTAAAAGATGGATTTAAAGCACTATAACTGTGGTACTTACCACCATATATC